TAGGGGGCGTGCAGGAGGCAGCCAATCGATTCTTTCTCATCATTGATGGTTCCCTCTCCCTTCCTCTCTGAAATCAATAAAAAAAATAAATTTTTAAGAAGGTTATTTTATTTTAATCAAGTAAATACTTCATAAGTAAAATATTCCATAATAATGATCCAACTCTAATGATGACATGGAAACAGCTCTGGACCTGGGAATTCAGGAGAAACTGAAATCCAGCCCCAGCTATGCTTAAAGTTTTAAGAAATATGATCTTTGGAAAAAGGCAAGTGAAGCAGAGTTTTTCTGTCTGGAGAAAATAAATCTGGGGCAGTTTCATTCTACGGACCAGTGGTTCTCACACTTTGTTACATGTCTGAATCATATGAGGCATCTTTAAACATCCTAATGTCCAGTCCACATCCCATAGCAATTAAATCAGAGTTTCAAGTGATAGGATCCAGGCATTAGTATTTTTTAAAATTCCCCGGGTCACTGCAATATACAACCAAGTTTGAGCCTGATAGCTCTGTCCCCTGTACCTGGCAGCTGAGAAAAGCAGGCTCACCCAGTTTTAAAGAGGCTCCAAAATGTTAGAGATTCTGAATGCAGCTGGGATGTATTTGCCTTCTGACAGAGAAGGATACCCTGATACCTAGGTACCCTGAGGGTGGGCAGAGAGTTGGCAGACATTTTGCCTCCACTAAAGAACCGATGAGCGGGCTTAGGGTACAGCCTGGGGTCTGGCACTACAAGACTGCTACAGGGTCCCAGAGAGTATGCTGAGCCCAGACGTAGTGAGGCAGCCAGGGAGGGTAGTCCACACTTCAGACATGAACAGCAGAGCCCAGGCAACCTGGGCACCAGGGGGTTGGGGTGGAGAGAAATGCCAGCATGGGGTCAGCTCAGCCCACCAAGTAGGGACACATACACCCCAGGTACATAAGCCTGAGCTCAGTGCTAAGCAACCAACCCTCAGAGGGTGAAGAAGCCCTTCATTCTACAGCTCCTGTCCAGGGCTCCATGAAACTTTGCAGCTGGGGCGCAAGCTCTGACTCCGACAGAGTGGCATCCTCTGAAGCAGCCTGGTGGTCCTTTGCCAGGTCTCACATGCACACCCAAAGCTGGACAGACCTAGTTTTCACTGCTCATCTAGCCAATTCTCTTACCATAGAGAAGGTGACATGGAGGCCCAGAGAGAGGGAGGAACTTAGCTATACCCCACCGAGCCCCTGTAAAACACAGGTGGTATCTTGGACCACGGAGCAGTCCCTGATTACCTCCAGAGCTACAAATAAGACATTCTACCTCCCTATGTCTCTCTCAGCCACTATACAAGGAGAAAAATCAGTCTGTTGTATCCTCTGGGGGGCTGGCCATCCTCACTAACCATTCCTGTCCCCCCACACACGAGCAGCTCCAGAGTACTGGGACATCAGCTAAGACCCCCATTCACACAAGTCCCTGAAGCCTTCCTCTAGCCCAAAGCTCAGAGCAGCACCACCTTTGAGAAATACATTGCACCCACTCCCCAGATGCCCAGTCCCTGCTAGAAAGACAGATTTTGATCCTAAGTGATTGCTGCCCCTGCCCCTGGCTGCCAGCAGGCTTACCTGTGGCCCTTGCTGCCCTGTGATTAGAGCAACACCTGGGAGAGAAGACAGAAGAGCGACAGGTGAGCCCACCACAGGTCCCAGAGGACGGTGCTTACCAAGAGCCCAGGAACACCCCCCTGCATGCTGCAGCCAGCTGGGCTGCAGGGCCTAAGCCTCGGGGAGCTGGGCACTGGGTAGGGTAGGGGGAGCAGCCTGGATCCTCTCCTCCTTTCTCTGAGGGATCCTCAGCCAGGGTTGCATTTCTCCAGCTCACCTGAGATGCTGCTGCAAGAAAGGGCTTGGATGACTCCTCCTGTTCCTGTTTATCTCGAAGGCGCTGCAGCAGTTTTCCCAAACTGAACAGCAAGAGGGAGACCTCAAAGAGGCGACTCTCTTCCTAGCTGCAGCTCCTTCCTAATCCTCTGGGTGCCTTGGAATAGAAGCTCAGAAGAAAGAAAGGAGATTTTCAACTTTCAGGAACTAGCTCTGTCGCTCTCTGCTCAGCTCAGGAGGCCATCACTCTCAGCCTTTTAGGACTCGATCCAAAAATCCTTCAGCCCTCCATGTTCCCCAAAATGACAGTGCTCATGTATGGCTGGAACCTGCCCGGATCCGGCAGCTCATTTAAATAGAGCTCATCACAACAACAGTGTTGGTGGAGAAGTGAGTAGCTGCAGGGCCCTGGGGACCCCCTGTTTATACGTAGGAAGAATGATGCAATCTGGGTATCAAAATAGCAATCCAGAATGGAATAACAAGCTCATGCAGCAGCGGTGCCTGCACAGCCAGAGCTCAAGTTGACACACTCTGTCAGCCCCACACTGCTGCAGCACGCAGATGCCAGGCACACACTCTCACCGCATCATTTTTAAAATCAGCAGGAGCCCGAGATATCCCTCTATGCCCCCAGCACTGAAGGAGGATTGTGGGGGGGGGGCCTTCGACAGACATTAAAATCTGTCTCCTACACACTCACCTGCTCCTGCCACTTCACCTGAAGTCCTTATCCTGTGACGTCACAGTCAGTTGCCATAGTGACCAATTGTCCGTCACAAGTGGAGGATTAGGACTTCAGATGGAGCACACACACATTTTCTGATGCACAAAGGTCCTGGGGCG